ACAGTCGAAGGCAATCCTGTCAAAAGATTCTCCAGCATCTCCTCCAGAGTGGCTGCTTCTAAATGATATATTCCTCAATTAGCATTACAGTTTAGCACAACTTAAAGAAAATATACTATGTTCTTCATTCTGTGTGTTAGTTCTTGCTTCAATTCAAAATGTCAGGAATAGCGTTGAGTTCAAAGTTTTATGCAGTAGTACCTTAGGTCTTGCTGTATATGTATATATATATATATATATAATTTTGTTTTTTTCATGTTTTATACGAGTTAGATTTGTGTCTTTTGTGAATGTTAAGATAATATTTGATTGTGTTTTGATGCTTTACACCTTGACAATGTATTCCTTACACGCCATAGTGGCTATGTCGCTTTTATTTATGAAGTGCTTCTTATCGCTGCAGAATATTCTGGCGCCTGCTTCAGGTCTTACTGCAACTGATCAGGCTGCATCATGACAGCAAGTGAGGAGCTGAGTACTATCTCTAGAAGCAAACTCACTTTGAAAATAAGATGACACCTGAGCATCCACTAAGCCCTGAGACGGTTTCTGACTCACGTTAAGTGACCACATTAACTATGTTTAGTTCAGTTAGCTACGTTTTACCGGATATGATTTAGACTGGGAGAAAAAAAGCAAAATAAAAGGAGCTGAAAAACATCTAAAATGTTTTTTTGTATCGCCCCCTCTTTTTTAGAGACACACCTGGGGTCCGCTGCTGTGACCAAACACCTTCCAGGAAATACTTTCTGCATGTGTCACAGTTATTCTTACCCTCCCAGTTATTTATCAGACCTTTAGCTGGCACCCGGTGTCAACCAGTGCTGAGTCACACCACCATGACAACCCCAGAACATTTACCGACTCCTCAAGATAATTTTTTTCTATACACATGGCTCCATATCCTGTCAGCGAGCAGATCTGGAAATGACAGTTTTGTTTGCTGGAAATTCAAAACAGAACTCTAAATTGCAGAAGCAGCTTTAACCATAACGGTCACATTTATTGAAGTAAAATATAACTTTTTAGAATTTATTCATTCATTTTTTTATGCAGCTAAACCCCCCCCAAAAAAATATTTATACCCATTTATAACCCTTCAAGATCTTGTCCCAAGTGACAAATACAAATTTCACTGTATGTTTTCAGGGTTAAATATAACAAAGTAGCTCAAAGTAGTATCTACTGTAATCAGAATCAGATTTATTTGTCTTGGTGTTTTTGGTGTAGACAAATTTTATATATACATATATATATATATATATATATATATATATATATATATATATATAACAATTTTTTTTTGGGGGGGGGGTTGTTTTTTTATGTACACATTCCTTCATTGTCACATAAACAAAGAGGTAAAAACAATATTTGATTAATGCTTAATATGCTGCAAGTCAAAAATGAAATTATAATTTCGCTTGTTATATTTGCATTCAGTCTCCCCAATACCCGAATTTGTTTGTCAACCCCCATGCATGTTCAACTAAAACAGTTTGATTAGTCAATGATCTTCATTGTTCTCAAAATGAACCAACAGGGAGTAAAAGCTATCATGCTATCCGGCTAATGCTAACCAGTAACCGTCAACAGCGAATAAAGGAATTTATACAGTTAGGTGATCTGAAAAATGCATAACCACGCGTATATAATGGGGCTGCTTAAATGAGGACAACAGAGCAATGTTTGTTTATATATTTTTACGATAATTATAAAAAGTTTAATGAAGCTCATCAGCTAACGTTAGTGCTAACTAGCTAATAGGTTAGCCATCTCAATGAAAAGAAAAAGACACCTCCCGACAAATGAACAGCATGCAGGGTTATGTCAAACAGTCCAGTCACATAAACTAGCTCAGATTTTGGTGGAGGCAAAAAAATATATATATAAAAATTCAAGTTTGCTGCAGTGACAGTCGGCCAACTCACCCCTTAAACCTTCAGCCCCCCACCACTGTGTTATGGGTTTCACAGAGGGGGCTAACAACCTAACTGAGAAAAAACAGCCCCCCACAATAAACGAGTGAAACGGGGTCCTCTCCTGTGATTCTCGAAGAATCCTCCAGAATAAACCCCCACACCCTCTCGTGGTTACAAGTAAACTCGTTGCTGCTCTCTCTCATTCATATTACTGCATAAATATATCTTCTTAGGGAGAAACATCAGGGTAAAAATAAAAAAAATCATCATAGCTTATATACTACAGTATTTATATGTTGAAAATGAATTCCTTCCTTCACGGAAACACAATCTTCATGTTTAACTGTATGAAAGTCTTTCAGAAAGGTACTTTTGATCAAGGATTAGTTTGAAAAGTGATACATTTCAAACATGTCACAGGGCTGTCACCTCTCACCCATTGGGAGTGAGTCTCACCCATCTCAGTGTCTTCACTCTCACTCCATATTCCCAATTCCTCAAACTAATAAAATGACAGACGTTAAAACTCAACTCAGTCTAGTTTAATAATCTTTAGGAGTAATCAAACCAACACAAATATTTAAATTCTTAAANAAACATGAATCGATTCTCTTGCGGACGTGTCGATGCATCGGATCGTCGGCTGTTGGATCGATGCATCGATACAAAACGATTATTATTTACACCCCTAGTAGCGGATGAGAAGAAACTGTTCTTGTGGCGTAAGGTTTTAGTCCTGATGGACCGCAGCCTCCTGCCAGAGGGAAGTGACTGAAATTTTTTATGGCTGGGGTGCGAGGGATCAGCCACAAACATCCTTGCACGCCTCAGAGTCCTGGAGGTGTACAGATCCTGGAGAGAGCCAACATTCGTTCAAAGGGAGAAACAAAAACACATAATAAAAGGACTTTTCACACATCTAAGAAATAAAAACTTGTGTGTGGCATGCATCACTATTTAGCCTGCATGAATACATAAAAAGATATTTTGTAGCAGTCATAGTTGGGGCTGTGTTTTTACCACCTGTAGTTCCAGAATGATTTGCCCATATTAGTTTGCAGAATAGCTATAACACAGGTTGTAATGTTTAGGTTTGTCTATTGCCTAGGCCTTTCTGAATCATAAGTGCACTATTAGCTACTAAGTAGAGCTTTACCTTGTTTTTTCCCGAAACATATATATTTGAAATTATTTAATAAATTTCTTTCATCTCAGAGACAATGAATTAATAAAAATAAAAAACACCCAGGCCCTGTGTATAAAACATCCAGATCTAATAATGTGTTGTTGACACGATTGGTGTCAGTGTTAATAATGTATCACCAGAAATCATTGTTTTATTTTAATATGAAGGAATTTTAGCTAATTCTTTATTTATAAATGAATTAACCCAAAATAGGTTTAAGCTTAAGGTTTTTAAGCTTCTTGTTTTTCTCTTTCTAGTTATTTTTGGGGAGTTACTTTTGGGAAGATTTCCTTCTTTTATATATATTCTATTCATTTTTGGTCATATTGACAACAGCATTGTAACCCTTTACAGTCTGATAGATGTTAGTGACTTTCTTCTCATCTGCTGCAGTAATTTAGCCAACTTCATTCCATCAACATGATTCTATTTAAGTGATTTTTTTATCCAGGGAAATGAATTTTAACTCAGGTTTTGATTTTAAGGACAGATAATTTATGATTGTATGGAGGGTAAGTTCCACACAAAGTCAGGTGGGTTTAGATAGCTGATAAGGATTCCCTTAGCAAGTGACATTATACTATGAAAACACTTTATGTCTAAAATAGGACTGATGTGATTTTCTGGAATATTTACGTGCAAGAAAAAGAAAAAGCAGAAAGAGACTGTACACTGCAAAAAATAGCAATCTAAATAAGTAATTTTTTCTTACAATAAGTGCATTTGTTCTTGAATTGAAGAGGCAAAAGAGACATTTTGCCAATGGAAGAAGAATATTTACATTTAAAATAAGAAAACACAACTGCATTGTCTTATTTCAAGTGCCTTCCATCTAATTATCTTATCTTAAGAGTAAAAATACTAATTCCATTGGCAGATTGTCTTATTTACCTGCTAAATTTACTTATCCATGAGATATTTGATTTTTACTTTTTGCAGTTTAACATATACAATATACAATATTGTATGTTTAAGATATTAAAGATACTGGAAGGTCAACCTCTGCCCATGCCTCTTTTCAAGCCCAGAGCCAATAAGCTCTTGTTTTCCTTTCTTTGGATCCCCACAGCATGACCCAGCCACTGCCTTACACTGAAGTATGTTGAGATCAGGGTGAGGTTTAGTGTTAATATATATATAAAAAAAGATCAGGTTAGTTTTCCAATTAGAACAGGACCGTCTTTTATGAATGTTAGATTTGTGGGATTCACATCTGGCAAACAAGGTTTTGCAAAAGCAAAGAGAAAAAAAACCCAGAATCTTCCAGTCCAAATCGTTTTTTTTTTATATTGTTTTCTTTTCACATTGTTCAATCTCATTAGCCCCTGCAGGGATCATGCTGACCTTTGCTTGTCTACACTGAAAAGCATTTCTCACTGTGGTGGCAGATAACTGTCAGAGACTCAGTCCAGTCACTCTGTTTAATGACTTCAGTCTTAAATCTCAGCTTTTCTTTCACTCTGGAGGATTTCCACGTGAAGCTGTGACCGTAACGCGACCACCCAGCGGCCCCCAGGGACCCACTACTCAGTCTTTTCTTAGTCCGGTTGTTCATCCACTTGGACCCCTCTCAGCATGACACAGATCCACAACAATCGGTCAGCCCCTGCCCACGCCCACGCACCCCCCCTCCCCCTCCAGTTGCCCAAATTGGAGCTCCTAAAAATAAGCTGGATGCCACAACTGTTGCGCTGCTCAGGGTCTGACCAATCACGGCACAATCCCGCACGAAAACCGAGCTCGACTCCCGTTTTCCTCATGGATGAACAAATAGACCATGACCACAGACGCTGAATGACGCGGCCCCGGGGCCCCTTTATAAACCATCTCCTTCCTCCTCTCAGCATGCAACTTTAACGCGCTCAGTTCGCTGCTCCAGCTCACCTGTCACTGAATCCACTCCTTTTTTTACTTTTATACTGAAAGGACAACTCATCAAGAAGGTGCCAATTAAAACCTTTATCATTTATCGGATAATAGAATCCATCTCTGCTTTGGCACAGGAGCTCTGAATCATTTTAAAGTCTCCAACTCTCAGCTCTCCTCTCGCTCTTTGCCACCGACGCGCAAAAACTTTTCACACCCGAGTGTCACCGAGTTATAAACTGTGAAGGAGGAGAGAAGCATCATGATGAGCAACAGCTACGGCGAGGAGCAGCTGCCTCCTCAGTACTACCAGGCCACGGACTTTGGGGAGGAGGAGGAGGACGAGATGCCGGCCACGGAGAAGGACCTGGCCGAGGACGCGCCGTGGAAGAAGATCCAGCAGAACACCTTCACCAGGTGGTGCAACGAGCACCTGAAGTGCGTCAACAAGACCATCACCGACCTGCAGAAGGACTTCAGCGACGGGCTGAAGCTCATCTCACTGCTGGAGGTGCTGAGTCAGAAGAAGATGTACAGAAAGCATCACAGCAGGCCCAACTTCCGTCAGATGAAACTGGAAAATGTTTCTGTGGCTTTGGAGTTTCTGGACAGGGAGCACATCAAGCTGGTCTCAATAGGTGAGCATAATTGAAAAATAAGAAATTAATTTATCCTCTGAACTGGCACAATCATTTATGTACACTGAAAAAAATAATGCAACCGCATTTGGCATTTACTTGATTATATTTAGTTACTTTAACACAATTGTTTTATTACCTACACTGCTAAAACAACTGTATTAAAGTAACTAAATTTGATTGAGTAAATGCAAAAAAAAGTTGTATTATTTTTTTTCAGTGTATTAATTTGACAGGCCTGCATGAAACCCCCTTTAAACATCTTGTAAAAATTCTCACCTGAGCAACTAATAGTTTTCCGAGTATCTCAGCTTTAAAAAAAATAATATGACCTCATTGAAGGTTGCAGTTTGAATATGTGTCCAGTTTTTCATTTAAAGTTGAAATTTACTAGAATAACATGAACAAGAACACTGAAAAAAATAATGCAGCCACTTTTGGTATTTACTTAATCATATTTAGTTACTTTAACACAATTGTTTTATGACCTACACTGCTAATATGAAACAACTGTGTTAAAGTAACTAAATTTGATTGACTAAATGCCAAAAAAGTTGCATTATTTTTTTCAGTGTATTAATTTGACAGGCCTGCATGAAACCCCCTTTAAACATGTTGTAAAAATTCTCACCTGAGCAACTAATAGTTTTCCGAGTATCTCAGCTTTAAAAAAAAATAATATGACCTCATTGAAGGTTGCAGTTTGAATATGTGTCCAGTTTTTCATTGAAAGTTGAAATTTACAAGAATAAAATGAACAAGAACACTGAAAAAAATAATGAAGCCACTTTTGGGATTTACTTAATCATATTTAGTTACTTTTACACAATTGTTTTGTGACCTACCCTAATAATATGAAACAACTGTGTTAAAGAAACTAAATTTGATTGAGTGAATGCCAAAAAAGTTGCATTATTTTTTTCAGTGTATTTATTTGTCAGGCCTGCATGAAACCCCCTTTAAACATCTTGTAAAAATTCTCACCTGAGCAACTAATAGTTTTCCGAGTATCTCAGCTTTAAAAAAATAACATGACCTCATTGAAGGTTGCAGTTTGATTATGTGTCCAGTTTTTCATTGAAAGTTGAAATTTACAAGAATAACATGAACAAGAACACTGAAAAAAATTATGCAGCGACTTTTGGGATTTACTTAATCATATTTAGTTACTTTTACACAATTGTTTTGTGGCCTACCCTGCTTATAAGAAACAACTGTATTAAAGTAACTGAATTTCATTAAGTAGATGCAAAAAAAAGTTGTATTATTTTTTTCAGTGTATTAATTTGACAGGCCTGCATGAAACCCCTTTTAAACATCTTGTAAAAATTCTCACCTGAGCAACTAATAGTTTTCCAAGTATCTCAGCTTTTAAAAAAAATAATATGACCTCATTGAAGGTTGCAGTTTGATTATGTGTCCAGTTTTTCATTTTAAAGTTGAAATTTACTAGAATAACATGAACAAGAACACTGAAAAAAATTATGCAGCGACTTTTGGTATTTACTTAATCATATTTAGTTACTTTAACACCCTTACAATATGAAGCAATTGTGTTAAAGCAACTAAATATGATTCAGTAAATGCTGAAAATGGTTGCATTATTGTTTTCAGAAGTCAGAAAGGTTCAAGGTTCCTCACAGACTCTGACCGATAAACACAATATGGCCACCTTGCATTAAAACCTTGGTAGCACGTTGCTNTTTTCAGAAGTCAGAAAGGTTCAAGGTTCCTCACAGACTCTGACCGATAAACACAATATGGCCACCTTGCATTAAAACCTTGGTAGCACGTTGCTATTAATTTGGCACCTCTAACAGCAGTTAGTCTGGTCACTGGTTATATTGAGAAACAAATCCCTCTTCTGAGGTTTGGACTTTACGCAGCCTTGGAGCCCACTGGGAGTTATTCCTGCTCCACACTCATTCACTACATTGGTCCTGACTACACCAAGTGATGTCATATTTTCATTTGGGTGCCATTAAATGTGGATACCGCCCCACTGGGAGTAGTTGTAAAAAGAGTTTAATAGCCGTAAATCTAAACCATTTCAGCTCCAGTTTAGTGTTCGGCCATTAAACATTAACGTCTATTTTAGTCTTCAGCAGGTTTGTTTCAGCTACACACATCTTCTCATCAGGTCTAAGTAGCTGCCCCGCCCACGTTAAATAAAAGGAATCCCAAAGCATGGCCCTGCCACTTAACCTGACTCCACCAGATGGATTTGCTCCGCATATCCATCTGGAAACCTTCCGTTTAAGTAATATTGGGAAGGAG